GCCTCCACCACCTTCTCGCTGCTCTGCTGCTGCTTCTCCAGCTCCAGCTTCATGATGGTGTGGATGAAGTGGGTCTGCACACGGGCCTGGTTGAACTCGATCCTGCCCTCGGTGTTGCCGCAGCCGTCCTTGGTGCAGCCACAGGGGAAGGAGGTGTGATCCATCTGGCACGGGGAGAAGCAGAGGCAGAGGGTTAGGACCGAACCCAGCAATGCAAACCCAAAACCACCCACGACTCATCCACCCTGAGAAACCAAGTAACAGCTGAGGGGTTTAAAAGCAGACTAAGGAACCAATATAATAAAAATCACCCTGCTCTTTTGAAGCATTGTCATTAAAAAGTTGGATTTCACTAAATGGCCGAACCCAGAAAGGTTCCAAAATCCATCAGTGCTCCAGCAGTGCTCCCAGGTGGCCAAGAAGGCCAGGACCATCCTGGGTTGACGAGGCAGTGCTGGGTTAACGGCTGGACTTGATGATCTTAAAGGTCTTTTCCAACCTAAACAATTTTATGATTCTATGATCCTGTGAAAAAAAGCAGAATATGACTCCGAAAGGAGACGTAAGGGGGCAAACATGAATTTTTATATATTGCATCATGATATTTAATCCCCAATCCATATCATGAGCTTCTGCCCCTCACTGAGCCAAGGCCAAATTGCTCAACAGGCATCTGTGGCACCTTTATGTCCCTGTCAGCAGCAGCCACTAGAGGGGGGCTGCGACACACACATGGAGCACCCATCTGCCTGCCCGTGTGCCCCCACCCTGCACCACCCTCAGCCTGCAAGCATGGCATGGAGGGAGTCAGCAGCACCCACAACAGGGAGCATGGCTCCCCAAACACAGCTGGGAAGGCACTCACAAAAATACAACGAAAAATATAATAAACTCATCAAATATAAAGGGACTGTCCCACTTTGGAGGTGGTCTGCACAGCTAGCTGGGGGCTGATGCTCAGCTGACACTCCCACGTTCTCCTGAGCGTGCCAGGAGTTGTGACACACCCCAAAGGAAAACAAAAATAAAACAAAACAGGGAGGAGGAGAAATGGCAGCCTGGCATGAGGAGCAAGAAGCTTTTGGTTGCCAAGTTATTCCCACGTGGTGGAGAGTTGAGTTTCGCAGGGATGGACAAGGTGCTGTGAGCTCAGCAGCGGGACAGGGACGGCTCCACGTGTGACTCCAGGAGCAGATGCTTCCAAGCAGCATCTGCCTGGCAGCCTGGGGAGCATCTCATCTCCGAGAGCTCTTCTCGCCAGCGCCGGTGGGAACAGAAGCACTTTACAAGCTGCCTTAACTGGGAACTGCTTGCTCACAACTCCCCCCGCGGGCCGAGGCGAGGGCAGTACCTGACACTTGATGCCTGCCAAGCTGCAGCT